TGTATTTTATGATACCACAGGGTTGCTATGAATTTTCTTGGCTGTTATGATATGTTTTTTTTGGGGGGGGGGGGTTCTATATTTTTGTTTCTTACTTGGTCACATTTTAGCTGGTGGTTATGTGCCGGCCCAGCTCAGTCTGTCAGTGAATCTGTCAGCTGCCCAGCACAATGTAGTACCTCTTAGTTTTATGGTCCTTGTTTTAGCCCAAAGACTGTCCTAATCCACCCTTTGGACCAAAAAGGGGGGAATCTTGGGACCACATAGGCCAATGCGCGCTTGCGAACTATGGACTCTCGTACATGAACCGCGTGCCCATGAACTGAACTGTATGGCCGGCGGAGATATGCCCTTTTTATCCCTCACGGGTGCCCCTGTTAAGCCCATGGACTGTGGACTGCCTGATCCCTGTCTCCATGGACTGTGGACTGCCTGATCCCTGTCCCCTTGTCCCCATGGACTTCCTGATCCCTGTCCCCTTAGTCCCCATGGACTGTGGACTGCCTGATCCCTGTCCCCTTAGTCCCCATGGACTGTGGACTGCCTGATCCTTGTCCCCTTTTGTCCCGTCATGGAGTTAACCGCATGCCGGCCTCCCTCCATCCACACTACTGCCTCTCGCATGGACGACAACACCCCTGGAAGAATTTGCGTACCACCAGCGTGGGTGGCTCCTCCTCGTTATGCGCGTGGGGACTATCCCGTTTCCTATCCTCTTTTGTTTTTGTGCCTGACCAGGATCCAAGACAAAGACCAAAGAAAAAGACCAAAGGCGACCAACGTTCCTGAGGGACGAACCCATCTGTGCTTTCAACGATCGAGCTCTGGCGCGATCCCCGAAACCAAAAGGGGGAATGTTGAGGGTCTGCCCTCATGAGGAAATTACTATGCAGTAATTTCTCCAAAAGACTGTGCCAAAAACGCCCTGGAGCGTGAATAAAAAGGCATATTAAAAATCAGCGCCAGCAACGACTCCATGTACCATGAGCCTTTGCACCCGGAAGCAACGTGATGACATCACCGAAGTGACGCCGGACCTCGGAACTCCCAGGTGCCGCCCGCATGAGTGTGCTTAAGATCTGAAGCGTGGAGCAACTCGATCTCTTTGTGTCCAGCTTCAGCTGGTGTTTGAAGAGAAGCTCGTTCTGCTACGACTCCGGACATGACAAGAGGCCGAGCCGCGGAAAAGCAGCGGAAAACCATCACATCTGCTCAGCGTGATTGCCGAGGGACGGCTTGAATTCGCTCAGAGAAGAGTTTTTTTTCTTTTTTCCCTTTATCTATCTTCCTTTCCCGTTCTACTATAGTTCAGAAGAAGCGTTCGACCGCATGATCGCTTCAAAATAGAAAAACGTTTTTTCTCTTCCGTACCAAATACGTCATCAAAATCATCTCAAAGTAAGATCCTTCCTTTTATTGTAATATCTAAGTTGTTTTGAGCTGTGGCCACAGCATAAAACAGATTGTTAGACATTTCATTTGCCTTTGAGTGATCTTTTGTTTTGTTTATTGATCTTTGTGAAGCGGTTTGAAGTTGGTTTAAGTTACTGTGCATGAAAGTTAAGCGACTGACTGAAAGTTTGAGAAAACTTACACACCTCCCACACACCTCCCACACACACTGGTTTTCAGTGTGGTGGTGAGAGGAGAAGGTAACACACACACACACACACACACACACACACACACACACACACACACACACATACAGACATTCCACAAGTGGTCTGATCCCAGCAGCCAGACAAAGGATCAACCATTTTGGGTTTTCAACTACCTCCATTTTGAGGTTACACCACCTCAGATTATTTCACATTATCATCTCATTGTTTAATTACTTGTTATTTGTTTGATAAAATAAGTTGGTTGATGTTGATTGGCTAAACACTTTAGAAGGAGCTGAAGTGAATATATTAGTTAATAAAGGTCATTGCCAATTAAGATTTTGTCTCAGGTGATTTGTTTGTGTTGATATAAATTAACTGCAGCTCGTTAAAGATTCACGGAACGTTTAGACAAGATTGATAAGAGGTGAGGATTCATTGTTCCCCTGTTAAAGGGGTGGTGCCCCGAGGACATCCAAGGATTTCCTAATTACGTAATAATATATTCCATATTTACGAATTTATTGATGAATCCGAAAAAGTAAGTAAAGCTTACAAATTATTCGTTGACTAATAATCACAACATGAGGTAGTCAAACAACTACACAGCGGTGGAGCCCCAGGGGCAGATGATATTCGTCTTGGGTATCTCAAGGCTATGGATGTTGTAGAGCTGTCGTGGTTGACACGTCTCTGTAACATTGCGTAGTCATCGGGGGCAGTTCCTGTGGAGTGGCAGACCTGGGTGGTGGTCCCCATCTTTAAGAAGGGTGAGCTGAGGGTGTGTTCCAACTATAGGGGGATCACAAGTGTGATTCACACTCCTCAGCCTCTCTGGAAAGGTCTACCCTAAGGTACTGGAGAGGAGGGTCCGATCGATAGTTGAATCTCAGATTGAGGATGAGCATTGTGTTTTTTGTCCTTGCCGTGGAACTGTGGACCAGCTCCAGCGTGATGGAGGGGGCATGGGTGTTTGCTCAACCAATCCATATGTGTTTTGTGGATTTGGAGAAGGCTTATGACCGTGTCCCCAGGGGCACCCTGTGGGGGATGCTCCAGGAGTATGGGGTGGGTGGCTTTTTGTTAAGGCCATTCAGTCCCTTTACCAGAGGAGAGTGAGTTTGGTCCGCATGGCCGGTAGTCAGACCTGTTCCCGGTGAGGGTTGGACTCCGCCAGGGCTGCCTGCTCTTGCTGGGTAGATTCGCGGCCGAGTGTGAAGCAGCTGGGATGAGGATCAGCACCTCCAATTCTGAGACCATGGTTCTCGACTGGAAAAGGGTGGCTTGCCAGCTCCGGGTCGGGGGAGAGGTGCTACCTCAAGTGGAGGAGTTAAAGTATCTCGGGGTCTTGTTCACGAGTGAGGGTAGGAGGGATCGGGAGACAGACAGGTGGATTGATACAGCGTCTGCAGTGAAGCGGATGCTGATTCGATCCGTCGTGGTGAAGAGGGAGCTGAGCCAGAAAGCCAGACTCTCGATTTACCGGTCGATCTACGTCCCAATCCTCACCTATGGTCATGAGCTTTGGGTAATGACCGAAAGAATGAGATCGTGGATACACGCAGCCGAAATGAGTTTCCTCCGTAGGGTGGCCAGGCTCAGCCTTAGAGATAGGGTGAGGAGCTTGGACATTCGGGAGGGACTCGGAGTAGAACCGCTGCTCCTACGGATCGAAAGGAGTCAGTTGAGGTGGTTTGGGCATCTGGTCAGGATGCCTCCTGGACGCCTCCCTGGGGAGGTGTTTCGGGCATGTCCTGCCGGCAGGAGGCCCCCGGGTCGACCCAGGACACGTTGGAGAGGTTACGTCTCCAATCTGGTCCGGCAACGCCTTGGGGTCCTGCCGGAGGAGCTGGTGGAGGTGGCCGGGGCGAGGACGGTCTGGAGCTCCCTAGTTTGGATGCTGTCCCCGCGACCCGGACCCGAGGATTTGGGTTGAGGGAGAATACAACGAGTCGCTATTTAAAGCAGCCGCAGCGCCGCTACCTGCATATAAACCGTGTCGTGGACACCCCCATGTTGAAATGACGCTATGCATTACGGGGCTCCCAGGGGCAGATAAGAGTTGGTCTCTCTCTGAGAATTATGAATTTAACAATGATTACTGCCTGATGACATTTTCCCAAATCTGCAAAGCTCACTGAAAGGACACAAACCGAGGACAATATTTTCCTGATATAGGGTTTATTACTCAAATAAGGGTAAAAAAGTATCTGATTAGAAGGCTACTTGAGTACTGAGTATCATCTGATCTAATATTTTTAAAATGATGACATCAAACAGACAAAAAATACAAAGTTATGGGCAAATATTGATTGTTAAAGACTAAAGTGGAAAAATGTAAACAAATAAACAACATAATTACAAAATAACACATTTTAGGCAAAAGTTAGACACAAACTGAGGATAATATTTTCCTGATATACAGGGTTTATTTTGAAAATGTAACAAGTTTAAAAAAATACCGTGATAATACCGAAAACCGTGATAATTTTGGTCACAATAACTGTGAGGTAAAATTTTCACTCTACGACAACCCTACTACAGACAAGTGCAGATCCACATGCAAACTGAGCCAAAAATACCCAGAAGGCAGCATTTTTCCTCTGATTTGCTGGTAAAGGTCCTCAGACATCCAGGTCACGGTAATCCAAAAGGGTTCAAATGAAGGCAACTGGACTTCTTTGCTTTCTTGAAGTCATTTAGCTTCTCATCTGAAGAACTTTGTCAATTCTGACTGGAACATGGGAGAGTCAAGCTTGTAAGCTGTAGCTGTCTGTTGTTGCGTAATGAACAGAAATTACTCTGATTCCCTCGTGGTTTGTGCGGGGTTGGGGGGCCACATCCACCGCCTATTGAGGAGAACTGATCTAACCTATCATGTTGTTTTGTTCCATAAAAACATCCCAAAACTAAATGAAGATGTGAAATGCACCACCGTAAATGTGAGTTCACCCACACTTCCTTTAGCAACCAAATGTTAAAGGCACAATCCCCTCCCCCAACCCCCACCACCCACCCACCACACACACACACACACACACACACACACACACACACACACACACTCACACTCACACACGCACAAACCACTGCGTCTGCCTGGTGGAGCCCCAGACATTAATTCTTGTGGACCCGACTTTAACTACATCGGTGTCCTCTGGTCTCATAAGTGATTCACTGAGACGTGTCTCAGCTGTGAGTTTTCTTTTTATCCTAAAGCTAAAATCAAAAACAACACTTGTCCTCTTGAGTCAAATAAAAGCTTCTGAAGTTCATAATGATTCGGTGCTGGGAATTGAATGTTTACCTTTGTCGGTTCACATCTAACCTCTGACATGTTTCCATGAATATTTAACGTCATGTCTGACGGTGGGTCTTTTTGTCTTTTTTACACAGGTATTCTACCAACATAACAGATCACAGTTACATCATCACCTTCTTCACCACCTGCTTCATTTTGCCTCTTGGAGTGATATTCTTCTGTTATGGGAAGCTCCTTAAAAAGCTCAGAAAGGTCAGATCTAACGTTTTAAAAATAAAAATGTTTGAGAAATTTGACTCCATCAAATGTTGACAGTATGGTAAATAACTGGTAAATGGCCTGTATTTGATTCAGCATCTTCTAGAGTCCTGGAACCCCCAAGGCACTTCACAACACAACCAGTCATTCACACATTCACACGCTGGTGGTGATGAGCTACGATGTAGTTGCAGCTGCCCTGAGGCGCACTGACAGAGGCAAGGCTTCCGAGCGCTGGTGCCACCAGTCCCTCCAACCACCACTAGCAGGCTAGGGGGGTTAAGTGTCATGCCCAAGGACACAATGAACAACAAACTGAACGAGGCTCAAACCTGCAACATTCCAATAAACTCCTGTGCCACCGTCACCCCATGCTCCAAGGAATTTCAGATTTTATACAATGGTCTTTTTTATCAGCTCATTTCTGTGTTGTAGCATATCACGTATTTCTAATTCACTGACAAAAACATTTAAATGATTATCTCTGATTCTAATGGGTCACTCTGAGTGTTTCATGCAGGCTGAACATAAAAATTGTCTCCTACACCTATCTCCTGCATTAGCTTCTGATAGAAAACAGACGGTGAAACTCTAGGATAGAAAATCCTGACAGATCTACGCCACACTGTCTATAACATTCATGGACTCACCCATCTGGACTTACGACAGGCAGGGGCGGATTAAGGACTGAAGAACATCCGGGGCTTAACACACGCACACGTGCGTGCACGCACACACACGCGCGCGCACACTCACACACGTGACACGCACTAGTCAACATCATATATGTCTTGTACCACATAATTTTTAATCTGAAGCTACATATTAAGCATTTTCAGGGCAGAGTATTGTTCCTGTTAGTGTTTAGTGTGAGATGATAGTAAATATTCCCTTTCTTTCTCCAACAACTTTACCTGATAGTAAGCTAACTTTAGGCAAACCAGCAGCACAACAAATATTTTCAAATAAGACTCACAAACCTGAGTCAACACCAGTCTCATCAAAGCTGGGGTTCTGTCGCGGTACTTTTGGTCTAAAAAACGTCCTTATGTCCATCTTCACTCGTGCGTTTCAGGCAGAGTGTAGAAGAAGCCGGCTGCTGAAGGGCTTCTTCTTCAGTGGTAGAGGCTCAGGCAGGCTGTATACAAACTACTGCCAGCTGCTCCCTCTCTGTTGGACTTTGGTACTGCATGTTACTTCCGCGATTTAGATCCGGGGCTTTCCATGAAACATCCGGGGCTTCAGCCCAAGTAGCCGGGCCTAATGCCGCCCCTGACGACGGGGAAGCTGTTGTTGGTTTAGTCCAGGAAACAGCAGAGAACATCTTGGCTAGTAGAAGCTAACTGTTAGCATTAGCAACTCCACCACACAGCAGAACTTCTCCAGGCTTGTGTTATTTGTGGAGATAAAACATCAATGTTGTACAGCAAACTGGTAGAGTCGTGTTGCTGTTAGGCAATCAGAGGAGAGATGTCCACACATCAGGAAATAACACTCTAAAACCTGCTGTCTGAAGCTCTCCTCTGGCTGAATACCCCGTGCTGAAACAGGTGCACCTGAGCTTTTTCCCCCCAGAGTAGGACTTACAAGGCCTTCATTACTACTAGAGACCACCACAAGTGAAGTAAAAATATGAGTAAAGTACCTCTTTACAAACATTTTCAGAAAGAAACACAAAAAAACATAAGACTGCACTATACTGAGTTTGAATTAGTCATTTCTTATGGCCAAGAGGTACCAAGTGTGTGTGTGTGTGTGTGCGTGTGTGTGTGTGTGTGTGTGTGTGTCCTTTAAGCAAATTTGGCAAAAATCACACAGAAAGTGTGGGTGGAACAAGACTGGTAGGGGGTGACTGCCTGTTTAAAGGGTAAGTCACACCCTAGGTGGAGTCTTAAAAGGATTCCTAAATTACGTTTTAGTCCTAAATGCTGCTACAACTGCATCAGTTAATATTAGTATCTGTAAAGGTGATGTTATAGTGGTGCAGAACATGTGTGAGAGGTGTGCAACAGCAGCGGAGGTAGAACTACATCAAGGACCTGCTCTGAACCTAACCCTAACCCTTTGGTGATGAACAGGCCAGACGGTCTTCTTGGACTAAGACGTTTGCAGATGATCAATTGCTTGTTATTGTGCGGTGGCAGGTGAAAACACACAGCAACTAGAAGAATCCTAAAGGCATAAGTCTGTATGGTATGATTGAACACTACAGTTGTTTTTTGCATGAAAATGACTGAACATTATTTATAATTTGGCAGCACTGTGGACATGAGTCATGAGACTTGGTCAGGACCGATGACTTGTGACTTCACCTGGATTTGAGGTTGATAAAATAAAATCAGTCACTCTGAAGCAAGTGATATCCAGTGGGTCTTAGATCAGTTTAGTTGTGCTTGCCGGACAAATTTTATGTTTCATTCATCATTTCTGGAAATTATATACAATATCTCCATAAATGAAGCCCAAACTTGGTCTAGTGACTTGTTTGGGACTCAAAATTTAAAGTTGAGGATTTTTCTTCACCCAAGCCTTGAGGCTAATTTATGGCCACCTCTGCAAGCCAACCAGCCCAGTGGCAGGATTTAGGACACTGGTTAATGGTGATTGTTTCATTGGTGTACTCACCTTTCGGTTTTTCTCAGGTGTCTCATGGTCGGCTCACAACTGCCAGGAAGCCTGAGCGTCAGGTGACCCGCATGGTTGTGGCGATGATTGTGGCGTTCATGGTGGGCTGGACCCCCTACGCGGCCTTCTCTATTCTGGTCACAGCTCATCCAACCATTGAACTCGATCCAAGGCTGGCTGCGATCCCTGCCTTTTTCTCCAAGACAGCTGCTGTCTACAACCCAGTCATTTACGTCTTTATGAACAAACAGGTAAATGTTTTGCTTTATATTTATTTATTTATTTTGTATATTTCTTTTTTTTTTTTTTACCCGTGTCCTGTCTGGCTGTGAAGCAAACAGAATTAATGTCTGGTGACAAGCTCTACAGATTTTACTCTCAGGTGGAGCATCAAAGCTTCTGCTTTTAATGTCACACCTGATACTTAAAACTTTATTGTTATTGTTTTTTGAATGCTTTGTAATTTCGACCGGACACTGAGACAGAGGTGAGTGTGTGTGTGTGTGTGTGTGTATGTGTGTGTGTGTGTGTGCGTGGGGGGGGGGGGGGGGGGGGTGTCCACGAAAATAAACAATCAATGATGAACAAGAGTCTGCTTCTAGACCTGCAGAAAAGGGATACACAGCAATACTATCACTGCGTCAACCTGATGAGGAAGTGTAAAATCAACATTGTTTTACTGAACAATCACACGATAATAAACAGTGCATTTAGTGCCAACCATAGACTTCAGATGTGTTGAACGTGCCCGAGTCCATACTTATGAGAGCACCATGTGAGCACCCGTGTGCGTACATGCGCTTGTATAGGAGTGTCCAATAGAGTGTGTGAGTGGCCACAGATCTGCCCCCCAAAGATGCATAGGAGATGGAGGGAGCTCCAAGTCCCAGAGGTCCAGGAGCTGCCCCAGAGCACAGGGACCCCAAGGAGACCGCGACCAGAAAAGCCCCCGCCCCCCTCGAGAGGCGCAGAGGATTGCCTCGGGGGGCCGCAACCAGCAGCCGGCAGAGTCCCGAGAGATATCAGTGGCAAGTCCACAGACCCGCCCGCAGCATCCCACCCCCCAGCCGGCTGAGCCCGGGACCCAGCGACCGGGGACCCAGGGGCGACCACCCCCGCCGGGGAACCAGCAGAGCCCAGGGACCCAGATTCCACCAGGCAGCCACCGGGATTGATCAGGCAGACGCCAAAAATAAACACCCTGACCCGGGAGCCACGAACACTCAGGCAGACCAAGGCACCACACTCCACACCAGATGTGGCAGGGGGAGGGGAGACGAAGATGTATAGCATCAAAAGAAGTCCCAGGAGAAGGGAGGAGTCAAAGGCCCCACCTGACATATACAGTCATACACAAACACAGTCACACACTCCCTCCCTCATGCTCACACATACACATACAATCAAAGACTTACAAAAATGCACGCCGGACATCCATTCATGGTCCCCATACACACCCTATTCACTCTGGTCCCGGTATTACTGCACATGGGGTACAACCATTACCGATGCCCAGAGTTCGACCCTTTCTGCTGGGGTGCTGATGAGCAGGCTCCCCTGCCCAACGCTGAGCAAAGCAACCCACCACCCCAACCAGACGGCCAGATCTCCCTCCTAGCCCCGGTAAGCCAAGTGACAACAGAGGTGTGCTAAGACCCCTAGTCTCCCTCTGCCTGCTCCAATATAGTGTTAGTGCGTGTTGATGAGGTGTATTCGTGGCTATGGTGAGCGGGCAGTGCGGGCATCGTCTGGCCTACGCCAGCTGATGACACCACACTACCCCACTTGCACCCACAGCCCTCAGTGTCTAAGTGCAGTTTAAAATTGGAAGTGGGTACCAGCACTCGGGATGAGGCAGAAAAATCCCCCTGCCAAATGCTGTTGAATGTGCTCACTCCCAAGGCCCAAAGTGTGTGTATGCATGGAATGTCGTTGGTGGAAGTGTTTAAGGTGCAAATAAAATTGGGGGGCTGGTTGCCACAGGAATGCGGAAATTGGGTCCATACCCATGCCCCCTGACTTATCCGCCCCCCTAAGGTCCTATGTGCATGATTGTGTGATGATGTGAGGGAGTAGTAGGAGAAAAATGTGTGGTGATGGGGAGGAATGGCTGGTTGGACTTAAGCCCTTTATTTTTTTTAAAGCCCATAATGTCACGCTTCCAGACCTCCAGCTATCCACTTCACACCAGACATCACCTGAACTCCACTTCCCAGCACACCCCCCCCCCCCCCCCCCCCCCCCATGTCATCACGCTCACCCTATGTCAGTAAGTCCCTCACAACAATCAGACATCTCTCTGTCCGTGGTCTTGGCGTTCCCAGGTCGGGACAGTGTAGAGGGTAAATGTTGTTGCTTTTAAGCTTAATGTATTACCTTTACTTATGACTAATAAGCTGTGATATCCGTCCATCTATCCATTTTCATCCGCTTATCTGGAGTCGGGTCGTGAGGGCAGTAGCCTAAGGCGAGAGGCCCAGACTTCCCTCTCCCCAGCCACTTGGGCAAGCTCCTCCGGGGGAATCCCAAGGCGTTCCCTGGCCAGGTGAGAGATATTCCCTCCACTGTGTCCTGGGTCTACCATTAGGTCTCCTCCTGGTTGGACGTGCCCGGAAAACCTCACCAGGGAGGCATCCAGGAGGCATCCTGACCAGACGCCCAAGCCACCTCAAATGACTCCTCTCGATGTGGAGGAGCAGCGGGTTTACTCCGAGCCCTTCCCGAATGACCAAGCTTCTCACCCTACCTCTAAGGGAGAACCCAGCCACTCTTCGGAGAAAACTCATTTTGGCCGCTTGTATCCACAATCTCGTTCTTTCGGTCACTACCCAAAGCTCATGACCATAGGTGAGGGTAGGAACGTAGATCGAAAGGTAAATCAAGAGCTTCGTCTTCTGACTCAGCTCTCTCTTCACCACGACAGACCGGTACAACTGGCCACCCACCCCATACTCCCGGAGTACCCACCACTGGGCCCCCTGAGGACTCGGTCAAACGCCTTCTCCAAATCCACAAAACACATGTAGACTGGTTGGGCTAAGTCCCACGCACCCTCCAAGATCCCCCTAAGGGTATAGAGCTGGTCCAGTGTTCCACGGCCAGGACGAAAACCACATTGCTCCTCCCGAATCTGAGGTTCAACAATCGGATGGACCCTCCTCTCCAGAACCCCTGAATAAACCTTACCAGGAAGGCTCAGGAGTATGAGCCCCCTGTAGTTGGAACACACCCTGCAGTCCCCCTTTTTAAATAAGGAGACGACCACCCCAGTCTGTCAGTCCAGTGGGACTGCCCCCGATGTCCACGCGATATTGCAGAGCCATGTCAGCCAACACAGCCCCTCAACATCCAGAGCCTTAGGGAACTCCGGGCGGATCTCATCCACCCCTGGAGCCTTGCCACAGAGGAGCTTTTTAACCACCTCAGTGACCCCAGCACCAGAGATTTGAGAGGCCAACCCCAAAGTCTCCAGACTCTGCTTTCTCACAGGAAGACGTGTCGGTGGGATTGAGGAGGTCTTCGAAGTCTTCTGCCCTCCAATCCACAACGTCCTGAGTAGAGGTCAGCAGCACACCATCCCCACTATAGATAGTGTTGGTAGTGCACTGGTAGTGCACGCCGGATGGTGGACCAGAATCTCCTCAAAGCCGTACGGAAGTCTTGCTCCATGGTCTCACCAAACTCCTCCCATGCCAGGGTTTTTGCCTTGATGACCACCCGAGCTGCGTTCTGCTTGGACTGCCAGTACCCGTCAGCTGCCTCTGGAGTTCCACAGGCCAAAAAGACCTGATACAACTCTTTCTTCAACTTTACAGCATCCCTAACCACCGGTGTCCACCAGCGGGTTCCGGGTTGGCCACCATGACAGGCACCAACGATCCTGCGACCACAGCTGCGGTCGGCCGCCTCAAAAATGGAGGTACGGAACAGGGTCCATTCAGACTCAATGTCCCCCGCCTCCCCCGGAACCTTTTGAAAGTTCTGTCGGAGGTGGGAATTGAAGCTCGTTCTGACATGAGACTCTTCCAGACGTTCCCAGCAGACCCTCGCGATACGTTTGGGTCTGCCTGGTCTGACCGGCTTCCTCCCCCACCATCTGAGCCAACTCACCACCAGGTAGTGGTCAGTTGACAGCTCCGCCCCTCTCTTCACCAGAATGTCCAAAAAATGCGGCCGCAGGTCAGATGAAACAACAACAAAGTCGATCATCGAGCTGCGGCCCAAGGTATCCTGCTGCCAAGAGCACACATGGACACCTTTATGTGTGAACATGGTGTTCATTATGGACAATCCATGACTGGCACAGAAGTCCAATAACAAAACATGTTCCTCCCAACCACACCTCTCCAGGGCTCACTGTCGTTGCCCATGTGAGCGGTAAAGTCTCCCAGCAGAACGAGGGAGTCACTGGAAGGAGCGCTTTCCAGTACCCCCTCCGAGGTCTCCAAAAAGGGTGGGTAGACTGAACTGTAGTTTGGTGCATAAGCACAGACCACAGTCAGAACCCGTCCCCCCACACGTAGGCGGAGGGAGGCTACCCTTTCATTCACTGGGGTAAACCCCAACATACAGGCACCAAGATGGGGGACAACTAGTATGCCCACCCCTGCTCGGCGCCTCTCAGTGGGAGCAACTCCAGAGTGGTAGAAAGTCCAACCCCTCTCAAGAAAACTGGTTCCAGAGCCAGATCCATGCGTTGAGGTGAGTCCGACTATATCTAGTCGGAACCTCTCAAACTCACACACCAACTCAGACTCCTTCCCCACCAGAGAGGTGACATTCCATGTGCCAATAGCCAGCATCTGTAGCCAAGGATCAGATCACCAAGGTCCCTGCCCTCGACTACCACCCATCACACACTGCACCCAACCCCTTTGGCCCCTCCCACGAGTGGTGAGCCCATGGGGACCCACGTTTCATCTTGAGGCTGTGCCCGGCCGGGCTCCATGGGTGAAAGCCCGGCCACCAGGCGCTCGCCATCGTGCCCCACCAAGGCCTGGCTCCAGAGGGGGTCCCCGATGACCCACGTCCGGGTGAGGGAACACGGTTTCCATTTATATAATTCATCATAAGAGGTCTTCGGGCTGCTCTTTGTCTGATCCCTCACCTAGGACCTGTTTGCCATGGGTGACCCTACCAAAGGCAGAAAACCTCAGACAACTTAGCTCCTGGGATCATTGAGACACTCAAACCCCTCCAGGTGGCTGCCCAGGGAGAGGCTGTGATACTCTATATAAATATAGAATATAGA